CAAAGGGGGAGAGCTGGCAGGAAGCCCCCCCCACTTGGGTCCCAGCTCCGTCCAGCTTGTCCGGAGCGCGAACTCCCGGCAGACTTTGCCCAGACTCCTCGCCGCCCCGCCCTTGACCTCCGCCGAGCGCAGCCTCCCAGCCGGGATCAGAGAGGCGGCGGAGTCAGCTAGGCCTTTACCCGCTGCAGCCCGAGCCCGGGCGGGTCGGCGGGTTGGACGCCGGCGTCTCCGGCTGGCTTGCGGGGAGAGGTCCGCGTGGGGTCCCAGGTTCCCAAAGTAGGCATGGGGCGGGGCGGGGCGGGGTGGGGACTCCCTTGCTCCCGCCCCTCCCTGCCCTGCCGCCAGGAGGCCGGGCACATCCAATGATTTCGCCCAGGCCGAGCTTGTTGACATGCCCATTTTACAGGCGAGAAAACTCAGATAGGTGAATTGACTAGCGCAGGTTGACCCAGTTAGGAAGTGGAGGAGCCAGGCCTGTCTTCGTACCTCATCCCCCAACACCCCTCTACCCGCTTCCTGGACACTGGTCCCCGGGGATCCTTCCCTCAGTTCTTCATCTCCTCGGCCTACCTCCAGGCAGGGACCTGTGCCTAAGTCCTTCCTCCATGCTCCCTTCTGTACCTGGCCCTCTGCAGACCCCAGGCCATCTCTGCTGGCCTCTGAGCACTTTGGTCAAGAGAGGAAGAATGGGGGCTGAGGGACAGCCCCTCCCCAACCTGCTTTTCTTGTCTGACACCTAATCATGGCCTAGCCCTGGGGCTTCCGGTCCTCAAAGCGCCCAGCCTTCTCTCTGTGCTTCCACCCAGGGCTCAGACCAGGGGCCGCCCACCGCCCACAGCCAGGGCATGCCCCGCTCAGAAACAGGTGTGTAATGTGAGCAGAGGACAGGTGTGCATGCAGGACCTCCTGGAGAGGCTCCCAGGGCGGCTGGACCTCTTTCCTCCCTTGAGCTGAAGACACGCAGGTTTTTCTTTTCTTTCTTTCTCTTTAAATAATTATCTTATTTAACTTTATTTTCACTTGACCAGAGAGAAACAGAGCGAGAGAGAGAAATCAAGCCACCAGATCCAGGAATCCAGCCACAGTTGGCCATGTGGGATTCCAGCGCCCTCAACCATCATGCCACCTGCTGGCGTCGCCCCCTTGTTCATTTTTATTTTTATTTTTTGTGGAGAGGTTTTTGCTATAGGGCACGTGCACTCGCCAGAAAGACAGAGAGAGACAAAGAGACAGAAATTGAGAAATCACCCCCCAAGGTGAATGGCCATCCCTTCTCCACCTTTCTCCTCTCAGGATCTTGGGCATGCATGCACACGCG